TTCCTGGGTCACTCAAGGAAGCTCAATTCCTTGAGAACGAACACAAAACAAACATCCAAGCTTTTATGACAAAACAAATGGTCTTAAAATTAATTCTTTAATCAACCCTCTGGCTAATGAAACTCTACAGAGAAGAAGTAGCTCTTCTCAGTACTAACTTGAATAGATATTTCTGGTATTCAGAGGTGATAATTAATGTAGCCAAAACAGTGACAGCCACACACAGGAAGGAGATATCAGTAGGGGGGGGTCTAAGGTACAACAAAAGAAAATAAAACCCTAAGGGGGTGAGGAAAATCTCCCAAACAGCCTGTTGAGGACTGAGGATGCATGCAGTTCAGTGTTTATTGTGGAACCACATGCAAGTTTTCCCTAGCTGATGTCAAAATCCCAGTCTGCACCTGCCCCCCCTCCCAATCCACACTTTTTATCTGGATTTACCCTTTCCATAGAATATCCAGTAAATTAAACAACAACACTCTGTTGCTAGTGACCCATTAACCCCCCTGAAAGTGGAACAGAATGGAGTATCCTGTAGGAGGGCATGGCTGGCTGGCACATTCCACATTCCACTTGTTCCAGCTAACCTGAATGGATAGGAGGGCAAATTATGGGATGCAAAGCAGGGCAAAGAGCAAGCTTGATTCTTCTTACAATCCAGGGCCAGTTCTTATGTTGCGGCTATTACATGAAAGCTCACACACGGTCATAAATTGCTAGAGCCACTTATCTTTTGTATTGGACGTGTGCACACATTAGAATGAGTTCAGGGCGAACTAGGATAAAAGATCTTGCAAACAGGCCCTGCTGAAGCTGTTGCAAACATCCAGAATCCGAACAAACTCTTGCAGCCCCAAACCCCCTATAGTTTTCTGAAATAGTTTTATTTTAGCAGATTAGCCCATTTACTTAAATATTTGCTGAGAGACACATATACTGTATTTATTTTGAGCACTTTTCCCTCCAAAGAATGCTGTGCTTTGTTAAGAGTGCTGGGAATGGTAGCTCCGTGAAACGTAAACTACAGTTTCCAAGATCCTTTCGTGTGTGTGTGCATGCTAGTTTATGGTGCATATGCAGGCTTCAGCATATTATATATAACTGGCTTTGAGTTCTGCACCTCTGCTCTTATCTGACAGGTCTGTTGCCAAGTCCACGAAACATATGGACTTGGTACCTCCAGCCTTTGTTTCTCTTCCATATTTTCTGCTGACACAACTCCTATCTTTCCATTCTATAGTCTACTTTCATTCCCACACTGTGCGGCCAAATCCAGAATAAACACAACCTGTAGTAGCAAGCAATGCTATAATTCTTTCATGACAGCTACCACACACTAATCCTTTACTGAGCACGGTCATTTCTGTCTCTCTCTCTCTCTCTCTCTCTCTCTCACGGTGCACTCAGACTGCCACTATTTTGCAGGAGTGATTCAAGCACATACTGAATCACAGAATCATAGAATTGTCGCGTTGGAAGGGGACCTCTGGTGGTCCTCTAGTCCAACCCCCTACAATGCAGGAATCTCAGCTAAAGCATCCATGACAGATGGCCACCCAACCTCTGCTTTAAAATCTCCAAAGAAGGAGAGTCCACCACCTTACGAGAGAGTTGGCTCAGTTAAAGGGCTCTATCACCCTAAGCTCAAAACAAATCTATTTAAAAAAAACCACCCAGACGTCTTGCAGTTAGGAAAGGGACTGGGAAATTGGGCTGAGAAGTGTGGGTTGAACAAATGATTAACAGGAAGACGTGTAAATCTCCCACATGCAAACAAGGACGAATGCTCATGGTACTATGACTTCCCCATAGGGGCAATAAAAAGCAGACATATTCAACGAAGGTTTATTCACAGTAGACCCAATGAACTTCCAGATAGCTCAGCTGGTTAGAGCTTGGTGCTGGTAATGCCAAGGTCGTGGGCTCGATCCCTGCAGGTTGCGTATTCCTGCATTGGACTAGATGATCCTCAGGGTCCCTTCCAACTGTATCATTCCATGAAATGACTAAACACAACTATGTTACGACCATTACTTACACATCAGCTGTGAGTAAAACTTAGCTGCATGCCACCCCATTTAACCACCGCATTGTGCAAGCAAATCAGGGCGAATGCTGAATTAACAGCTTATCTGGATGAGAGCCCTCTGTGCGATGCTCTGCTTGGTTACTCAGAAGCAAGTTCCATTCTGTGGGGCTGGTCCACTGGGGCAAATGGGGCATGCCTCCACCAACCACAATCTACCCATCACCAGCCCCTGAATGCCTGCCATCTCATGCCAGCATTCCTCCTCCTTAGTCTCAATGGCGCCTTTCTGGAACACAGAGAGGAGCAGAGCGGAATAGACCCAGATTTAGTTGGCTCTGGCTCCACCTAGTGTTGGCCTCCTTGCCTTGTGCCCTACCAGTCCACTGCATCCAAAGAGAGACACACAGAATTTGTTTCTTTTTCTCTGCGCTTAGGGGTGATTGCATATACAGTGGTACCTCAGGTTACAGACGCTTCAGGTTAGGTTACAGACTCCGCTAACCCAGAAATAGTACTTTGGGTTAAGAACTTTACCTCAGGATGAGAACAGAAATCGTGCAGCGGCAGCGAAGCGGCAGCAGGAGGCCCCATTAGCTAAAGTGGTACCTCAGGTTAAGAACAGTTTCAGGTTAAGAACAGACCTCTGGAACGAATTAAGTTCTTAACCCGAGGTACCACTGTATAACGATTACAAATATTACATTTTGTGGAGATCTGCGATTCTGAACAACGGTATTGAATAGAAGTATTCCGAAGAGTTAAACAAAGGTTCCAGCTCTGTTTTTTCTGCCACAACGATATGTTGCACCTGATGGCAGGAAAAGCGTCAGACACAACTTTCCAGTGTCAAGTGGCCCCTGCTCCAGTGATACCATTTTGAACAAGATCGATGGCCGCCATCTTGTTGAGACTCTCTATGTCTCCATCGGGATGGTCCAGGCTGTTGCCAGCAGGGTGTGGGAATTCTTGAAAGATGGCGTCGAGCTCTGTGAAATTCAACAGGCAGCAGCAAGGAAGGGTAGTGATGTGGAGAGCGTCACCTGTTGAATGTCTGGCTGCATGATGCAGCTGGTGAATGACTGGGGGGGGGGAGTGAGAAACCAGTAAAATAATTTGCCTCTGCGCATGGAATCATAGGGTTGGTGTGGTGATCACACAGGGTCCCCGGACGTTTCACCGTCTATTGATCCCTGTGCTACAACTTTATTTCTCATTGCCCCCACCCAGGCCCTACCGGGTACAATACTGAGCCCAGTCAGGGTTAAATTGGAACATAAACTTCTGTTTATTTATTGCAGTTTAACAAGCGTGTGGTTTCATAAACGGTATCGGTCAATTACAATCATGGGGTGCCTATCCAGACCTATAACTTCCACTACCTGCTCTCACTCACTAAACCACCTCTCAGATATTTACTTGTCTTCCTAGCTCCCACCCAACTGTTCCTGACTCAGCTTATTTCGCTACACTAACTCAACCTACCCACAACCTAACTCAACCTACTCCTCCCTTCGACCCCTCCCAGAGCTGGTTTTATAGTCCCTCTGACTCCACCCCCCCTGGATTCTGATTGGGTAACCTGTTTAACTGTCTTTGTGTGCAACTGCTGCAGGTGATGCGTTGCAGACATGCTCAGAGGCACTCTCTCCTTTTTTACGTCATAATATTGAATGGAACTTCCTCCTTACCTTGCCCGCAAACGAAAAACAGGGATGGGGAGATTGTTACCTGCATGCAGCTGCAAAAGCAACCTGATTTACAATGTGTTAAGATTTATTTGTTTTTGGTTTTTTTATTATTATTATTTATTTATTTATACCCCACCCATCCGGCTGGGTTTCCCCAGCCGCTCTGTGTGGCTCCCAACAGATTAAAAACAGAATAAAACATCAAACATTAAAACTTCCCTTATTAATTTTGTTCTCTGTGTCGTCTGATGTGTCCACCCACTACTTAATAAATGTCATTCCTATCCCACAGGGAGCTCAAAGTGGTGCTGTACATGGGGGCTCTCCTTCCTCACCCCATCCTCCTTCACGGCTGGGTGGGAATTTGAATGCTGGTCTCCGCAGGTCCTGATCCAGCCACTGTAACCAACTACACAGCACAGCCACTGATTTACCACCGAATCATGGAATTGTAGAGTGGGAAGGGACCCTGAGGGTCATCTAGTCCAACCCCCCTACAATGCAGAAATCTTTCGCCCAACATGGGGCTCAAACCCACAACCCTGAGAGTCCCACAGTCCTTGGTACTTTTACGATCGCCCAGAATCAGCAAACTATATAACACGATGGCTTTTAGGATGGTCACTGGCTGTACTTTTGCAGCCTGTTGGCATTTTTGCACACGCAGAAACACACGTACACCACATAAAATTGCCCTGGGCAACTGTGAACAACACCTTGTGCGTCTGATGAAGTGAACTCTGGCCCCCGTAAGCTTATTACGCTACAATAAATGTGTTCTTAAAAAATGAAAAAGATGCCACACGAGCTGCTTGACAGTGGAACTGCCTGCCACAAGACTTCTTGGACTCTCTCTCTCCTTCCATGATCCAGCTGAGATTCCTGCATTGCAGGGGGGTGGGACTAGATGACCCTCGGTGTCCCCTCCGACTCCACAACGCCGCGACTCGTTTGAGATGCTTCCTCTGCCTCTGTCGCTGGCAAAAGCCGGCGGAAGCTTGAGTTGGATGGGCGGGAAATGGTTCGTTGGTGGGGTTTTTTGGGAAACGGGGAGGGAAGGTGAGAGAGGTGCGGGGGGGGGGAATAATGTCAGGAAAGGGGCGGGACGCGAAGGGAGGGGGCGGATCCTTCCCGTCCCGCCTCCAGTTTCTTGTACATTCAAGGCTCTCTCCGGCAAGCATCCCCCTCCCTCCCTCGCCTCCTCCGTCTTCAATTTGCTGCCGACGGCGGATCAGGCAAGAATTCAGAGGCTGCAGGCTGCATGAATGGGGTAGGAGCTCTGCGGAGCTGTGCAAAACGTGTGCTTGCTTTAAAAACCATTATATATATATCTATCTATCTGAAAACCAGCCTCCAAAGTCGTATCCTGCCTCAGCTCCAGCTGGCTTGCTAGCAGGGGGGGCTGCATTTGGACCCCCAAAAAAAAGGGGGGGGGATGGCGGCGGCAGAAATAAGCGCACACTATGCATATCTCGGACATCTATGCAGAAAAAGGCCAGCGAGCGTCGACTTTCCTCTTCCCTCCCCCAGCTTTAACCTTTTAGCCTTCCCATCCAAACTGTTGAATGCAGCAAAGGCAGCGAGAGTCTGATTGGAAAGGAGGATTTGTCATGCAAGAGGGGTATGTGTGTGTGTGTTTGTGGAGGAGAGTTGTTTTGTAATTTCCAAGAAAAGCAACAGAATAGGGTGGGGAAAATATACATATATATTAAAAAGTCTGCTTCCTTCTCCTCAGGTTTTCTGCATATCAGGGCTTGCAGGAGCAACTAATGACCCAAACCTAGCCCTGTCTACTCGGAAGTAATTCCGCGGGGCTCACTCTCAGGTAAGCGGGGCGTGGGGTTGCAGCCTTACCTGGGAGTAAGCCCTACTCAGCAGGGCTTATCCCTTGAGGAGGCATGCATAGAGGGTTACTCCGCTCATAGGCATATGGGGGGTGTCTGGGGATTGGGGGGGGGGCGTTGGGCACGTGCAGTGGGGTTTGAGTGCTGGCAAGTTGCTTGTGTGTGAAGAGAAGGGTTTTGGTGCGTTGCAATATGTCCTTAGATGCCTTCTCTGGAGCAGTGGCCGAACCGGCAAGCCTCTACTCTCCATCCACCCTGCTCTCTCTAGAAACAGTTAAGGAGGCATATATATGAAATCACTCCCTACTTTAAAAGCAAAAAAAGAAATGCAAGCGAGCTAGCTAGCTAGCTAGCTTGTAAGCCACCCAACTGCATCTTTTGGGGGGTGGTTGTGGCTGTGTTATGTTTTCTTTTTGTACCTCCCAGCATGGATTCTCTCCCCCCCCCAACACCTCTCAGAGGAGGGGCCAGCACAAGAAGAGGCAGATGTTGGTTTTTCCATTTGGCCAGATTCTGCTTGACAGGGGTGAAGCCGGAAGGGCAAGGCAAAAGAGCAAGAGCTTAGGGTATATGAAGCATTGCGGGTCGGTTTTTTTTTTTGGGGGGGGGGCTTGTTTTTGTTTTAAAGAAAGAGACAGAAAAGGCTTTGCGTGTTATCCTTGGGAGGGTGGGGGGTAAAAGGCTTTTGTGCTTTGTGCCGTTCTGAAAACCCACGCGCCCTTTTCGCCTTTTATTTTATTATTTTAAAAGGGGGGGGGAGAGCTGGTGGTGGTGAGTTGGGTTGCTAGGGAGTGGAGGTGATGGTGACAGAACAGTCTGATTATGCAAGTTGATCAGCGGCTGTATTTATATATAGCTTCATCCAGGCAGGCAACTATATTCTGTCCACATCAAGTCTAATCTGTAATAGCTACAGGGTGTCTGTTTCTCTTGCTGGCAAGGAGGGGGGGGTTGCCCGAAGGGGTAGGCTGCTTCACGAAAGAGCGATGGAGAAGATTTTAACTTGCTTGCTCGTTAAATAGAGATCCGGCAAACATGCAATGGAATATTCCCGTCAGTCCCGTTTCATGACTCTTCCTCCCCCTTGCCCCTCTCCCCTTTTGGTCCTCCGTCTCCCAATAGATGTGCAAATCCAGGCTAGAAAAGGGACACTTTGGTTTTTTAATTTGTTGTTGTTGCTGCTGCCTGCTGCTGCTGCTGTTGTCTAACCCTGGCTTCCTGTAATTCACTGCAGGCAGAACAAAGCTCTGTCACAACTGTGCTTCCTGGCTGTCGCCTCCGCCTGTAAGCAGCTGAACAGTTCGCCTCCTTGATATCATCATGCAGAAAAGGATGAGCGAGACGCAATGAGAGATTCAGGTAATGCCACCGAAAATATGTTCCGTATCTGTTGCTGCGTTAATGCTGCTATCTCTGGAGCAACGCCATGCGCCGAGATCTTGTTGAACTCTGTGTCTGTGGTTGCATCACCGCTGATTTTTAACTGAGCAATGCTGAGCCCTACAGTTCATTAACACAGACCGTAAAACGAAGCTGGAGTAGAGACTGGTCTCTCTTCCTCTTAAAATGCCTCTCAAAGGAGGCAAACGTTCAGCAGTCTGATGGGCTGCTTTTCTCCCCCCCCCCCAAGCTCTTTTGCTTTGACAATGGCAAAGAAATGAAGGCAACTTGAAATCTCTTTTCCTTGTCCATCTATTTATGGAAACAAAATTCTGGTTTTGTTAAAATCGGGGTGGGGGGTGGAGAGAGGATATACTTTGTCTCATTAGGAAAGGTTGCTGAGAGAAAGCAAACCGGATTTTAAAAGGTAAACGGATGACTCTCGCTGTGGTGTTTTGTTCCAACAGGCAATTTCACCGAAGTGACTTTCTTTGGAAACAATTCAATCTTTTGCTGGAATAGGCTTGGAAATTGGTAAAAAATTGGAATGCAGCAAAGTTGGGGTGGGGGAGTGGGCGAATGCAAGGGGTGTGTTTGGCCAATATGTGGTAAAGGAAACACAACAAAGAAAGCTGAGCTTTTATTTGTTAATTAAGCTGTCGAGCCTTTGAATCCACAAACGCGTTTCACTATTGTCTTGGCAAATTATTTATGATTTGTTATTTCTCTTTGTCCTTCCTCAAACCGACGGTTCCAGGTTTTAAGAATCATGCTCATGCCTTTTGAATTATGCCCTTGGCATGATTCTATAACATATTTTTAAATCTGCAGGCTTCACTATGTATACAGGTCTTCTGCAACCTTTGTACCCAGGTTGAGGTCACAGTCCCCTCCAAGGGATTATCACCAGATCTCCTCTCGCTGGTTTTCTTTAAGTACCATTCTTGTCATTGTGCTTCATCACTCACTGAGTCTTGTATTGGTATTTTTTTTTAAATTACTGCTCTTTGTTAGGAACTTTTTGTGGGGAGAACTGAGGAGTCTTGCAACATTTTCATTAAAATAAATAAATGTACCATTAATAAGATGGCAACCAGAACCTGGATCTATGTGAAACAAGCAAATAAGAAGGGGGGGGGGGGACGACCAAATCCACCCTCCCCCACTCCTCTTGTGCTCCTTTCCCACCTTGTGCCTTCATTTGCAATAAAATTAAAGAACTCGGGGGAGAGCTTAGCTAAGTGGATAATTCGTAACAGCTGCCGCTTTTCCAAGGTGACATTTCTACAGCTGTCAAGGAAAGCAGAGAGAGAGAGAAAACTTTGGGTGCAGTCTGTAATGCGCTGCTCCTACATAATCAGCATTTAAATAACTACGACTTGCATGGGACCTGTTCTTAGTGGATAATATGGTCCAGACAGGAATGTGTTCAGGGGAAAATATGGAGGTAGTTCGTGCAATGACCTCTCTGAAAACCAGTAGCCTTGTGCTCTGGGAATGTATTGGCTGTCCCAAACTTGGTGTGAATGTTCAACAATCTCAAATGGATTTTGTGAATGTCTGAAAGCAGTCTTATTTTCCTAAATTTTTCCGGTTATCACTAGTGAATCCTCACCAGCTCATCCGGGCTACTGGCAGCATTTCCTGGTATGTCTCCGGGTTCTCTGAATAGTCACGAGGCCTGTGGAGAGTTCACCAAATTGTAAAAACTCACATAATGCAGAGATGAAACCCCGTACTGAAAACGGTTGCTTTTCGCAGTCCATGATGTGATTTCCATTAACTTTAATGGGATTAAAGGTCATCAAAGCACACAATGCAGCAACCTAGCTGAAGCTAACACAGTTCTGGATCTGGTCAATGCCTGGGTGGGACACCACCTAGGAGCTTTGTGCATGAGCTTGCTAGAAGAAAGGTGCAAGAGAAATATTAGAGTAAGAGCTTCTGTGGTTTAGTGTGAGTGCATAAGTTGTAGTCTGCGTTTGCATGTGATGCTAAGCCATAGATGAGCTGCAGCAGAGGTGGTTTTAGGGTGGTGCCACCAGGGCAGCCATACTGTAGGGGGCGCCACAACAACTTTGTAGAACGGAACTTGAGAGGTGGTATGTGCCAAATTGTAGTGTCTCACAGGGCGCCGCCAAAATTTGAGAGCCCAAAGTCTGCCACTGACCACAGTGAACCTTTGGCTCACACTCCTCCTCCTCTTGAGGAGCTTTCACTTGAACCACAGTTGAACGCTATGTCTGTCGTGGTTGATCTTCCAGTTTGCTGAAACAAGCCAGCCGTTTTAAACTTTGCCTTGAAGTTGGCTTGTTTCAGTGAGCCATTCTTATCTGGGTTTGCATGTCACAGCAAGCTGTGGTTAATCTGATGGAGAGATCTTCTCAACTCCCTCTTTGGAGGTCCAGTGGAGTGGCCAAGGGCAGGGAAGGCATGCAACCCTATGGCTCGCTGTTAGAGATCCTCATAATACTAAACCGTGGCTTACCGTGGTACACCAGGAATGTGCTGGTGCTCAGAGAGGAGTTGGCAGCCTCCCCGGTCTGTACTTCTGCCATGGTTGGATTATATCGTAAGCCAAATCTTGATGGTGGCGTGAGAGTGAAAAAGACCAGATAGCAGATGTAGTGGCTGTGAGCTCCATGGAATCGTGGTAACCCATTATTTGGCTTACTGTAATGTGCAACCAAGGCCTAAGTGTAAATGAGGCCATAGCCTGTTTTCTGACTTTGTACTAACTTGATTTCAACATTTTTAGACTCCTGTGGTTTAACTGTCCCCTAGATGTAAGAAACTTTGCTTGCACAACTTGCAGGTTTTGAGCGAGGACGGAAGTCACTTGAGCACATACATAATTTCTGTTTCAGTCCTGTTTCATCACCTGTCTAAAACTTGAAATGTATGCTGGGCTGTTTTGTTGTCCGGACCACATGCATTGTGTGTGTGTGTGTGTGTGTGTGTGTGTGTAGGCAGGAACTGTTTGTTATGGGGCTGAAAATGTTTGTTATGGGGTTGGAGCTGTTTGTTATGTGGCAAACACAGGTTTCCCAACTTTGGGTTTGCCTTGTGATGCCAGTGCAGGGCAGGGAAATTTTTCAGGAGAGGATTAGCAGGTGGGAAGGAGTTCTTGTGATTCTACCCTACCAGTTCTCCTCTGCAAGTTCCCCCTTGGGTCAGTTTACTCTTTTTGCCTCCCTCCCTGTCTGTGTGCTTCTGCACAGCTTTGCTGATCTGGGTGTGCTTTTTGACTGGAAAAAGAGGCAAGGCTTGAGCAGCGATACCAGCAGCCACCTCTGGGGCTGGCAGTTCTGCTCTCTATATTGAGTATGACTGAATGGTCCATTCAGCCACAAAAAAGGAAGTTGAACCAGTCAGTCCAACATAAGTCGATGGGAAGCAGGCAACACAACAGCAGTGAACCATTCAGAAATGCTGTGGGCTTTGGGCTTCCAGAAACTTCTATTTCTTGTGTCGTGCTAGGAGTTCTCTAGCACAGAGTATTGGAATTACATATACAGATACTTGTGCCTTCTCTCCCTTTCACTCTGTCCCCAAATTTGTGAGCAGTGTTTACACTAGATGTTGCAAAGAAATGATGTGGTCGTGGACAATGGAGACATGCAACAACTTGGAAGCATTCCAGGGAGTAGTGCTGGCAAATTTGGTGACCCCACATGGCTGCTCGGTTTCTGAAACATACCATACTTCACAGAGTTCCTGTTAGTTCAGAGTCTTTGCTCTTACGGGTAAAAGTGTAGCTCAGGTTGTGGCGAGTAGCTGAGTTTGGAGATTTTTCTCTCTCTCTTTTCGTGCATGCAAATCCTACAGTCTGCAAAACCTCTGTGACTGGTTTTGATCCCAGACTGCTCGTCTAACAGGAGGCTTTGAAACCCTTTTGCACCATCCATCAAAGGAAACGTCATGAAGTGAAATGCATGTAAACCTCCGACTGAAAAGCTCCGACTTCTTAAACTAATTATGTAGAAAGAGATTTTAAAAGATGAGTGATGTTTTCCAAGTATTAGCTACTGTGACTCTGCTGCAAAGCTGACCTCTTTCAAATAATCTCTCACGGTGTAGAGCTTGGTACATACCGCACTAATCCTCTGGGGTAACAATTGTACCCTGTACAAGTAGATTGACTGACATTTTATACAGTCTTAAGACGGAAAGTGTTGGGGAACGAGCAAAGTTGAAACTGGGAAAATATTTCACAGTAGCCAAAGCCTTTCGACTAATTTGGAGTCGCTGCCTCACTAGAGTACCTTAAAGTATGGTGGGGTTTTTTAAAATGCCAGCGAGGCAGAGAGGTGGAAGTGAGGGCATAGAGGAAGGAAGTTGTGATGAGATGGAGGACTGGGTTTTCAAAGGCACAATTGAGAAGTTGCAGAATAAATTTGGAGGAAGTGCGGAACAATTTCTCCCAGACTTTGCAGGCAACAGGAGTTACTGCTTGCAAAGTGGGAGAAACAAGAGTGGGTACTTTTGCCTTTTCTATGTATGGTGATTATACTGTTTTCTTAATCACTTTTTGTTTGCTGCTAGATGAGCGCCTCACGACTGGACCTAATGGTCAGGGGTCCCTTTGCCTTTTTATAAAGGTGGGATATAAGTAAACCCTAAGTGAAAACGATGTGTTTGTTTGAAGACCATTACCTGTAGAGGATTCTTCTGCAGATTAGGCTGGACCGGTTTATTTATTTTTTAAAGCAAGGCAATTTAAATCATTAATTTAGACTTCAATCCTATGCATATTGGGGGTGGTTGAATTAATTTTGGACTTAAACTGAGTAAACCTTCACAGAATGGTCTGCAATATCACAACTGAGTTTTGAATTGTGATTTGTGTTTGTGTAAAAACGAGCTGTGGAGAAAACTTTGATTCAGGTTTAACATCTGCATAACTCTCTTGAACAAGTTTGCATAAAAAACCTTTTAATTTGAACTACTTTGTTGTTTTTTTAAAAATACGATTTTAA